CAATGGGGAAATGACAGTCTTTTCAACAGATGGTGCTGACAAAACTGGACAGCTACATGTAAGAGAATGAAACTTGATCACTGTCTAACCCCATACACAAAAGTAAATTTGAAATGGGTCAAAGACCTGAATGTAAGTTGTGAAACCATAAAACTCTTAGAAAAAAACATAGGCAAAAATCTCTTGGACATAAACATGAGCAACTTCTTCATGAACATCTCTCCACAGGCAAGGGAAACAAAAGCATAAATGAACAAATGGGACTATATCAAGCTGAAAAGCTTCTGTACAGCAAAGGACACCATCATTAGAACAAAAAGGTACTCTACAGTATGGAAGAATATATTTATAAATGACAGATCCGATAAATGGTTGACATCCAAAATATATAAAGAGCTCATGCACCTCAACAAACAAAAAGCAAATAATCCAATTAAAAAATTGGCAGAGGAGCTGAACAAACAGTTCTTCAAAGAAGAAATTCAGATTGCCAACAGACATATGAAAAGATGCTCCACATCGTTAGTCATCAGAGGAATGCAAATTAAAACCACAATGAGATATTACCTCACAGCAGTAAGGATCGCCACCATCCAAAAGACAAACAACAACAAATGTTGGCGAGGTTGTGGAGAAAGGGGAGCCCTCCTACACTGCTGTTGGGAATGTAAATTAGTTCAACCATTGTGGAAAGCAGTATGGGGCTTCCTCAAAAAGCTCAAAATAGAATTACTGTTTGTCCCAGGAATTCCACTTCTAGGAATTTACCCTACGAATGCAGGAGCCAGTTTGAAAAAGACAGATGCACCCCTATGTTTATCGCAGCACTATTTACAGTTGCCAAGAAATGGAAGCAACCTAAATGTCCATCAGTAGATGAATGGATAAAGAAGAAGTGGTACATATACACAATGGGATATTATTCAGCCATAAAATGAAAACAAATCCTACCATTTGCAACAACATGGATGGAGCTAGAGGGTATTATGCTCAGTGAAATAAGCCAGGCAGAGAAAGATAAGTACCAAATGATTTCACTCATATGTGGAGCATAAGAACTAAGAAAAACTGAAGGAACAAAACAGCAGCAGAATCACAGAACCCACGAATGGACTAACAGTTACCAAAGGGAAAGTGACTCGGGTGGATGGGTGGGATGGGAGGGATAAGGGCAGGGAAAAAGAAAGGGGACCTTATGATTAGCATGTATAATGTGGTGGGGGGGCATATGGAGGGCTGTGCAACAGAGGGATGTAGTGATTCTATAGCATTTACTACGCTGATGGACAGTGACTGCAATGGTGTTTGTGGGGGGAACTTGGTGAAGGGGGGATTCTAGTAGACATAATGTTCTTTGTGTAATTGTAGATTAATGATAACAAAGTGAATAAAAAATATTAACCAGGGCGAACAATTTGGGAAGTACTGATATTTTTATGATTTTGAGTCTTTCCATATTTGGATTTATACTAAGTCTATGTATCATTTAAGAAAGTATTAGCATATTAAGGCTACTTTGTTATCCTATAAACAAAAAATGGCATTTCCATATATTTATGTTTTAAGAAATATTTTCATCCTTATTTCATTCTTTTCATAAAACTTTTGTACGTGTATCTTTCATTGAATGTATTCTTAGGTAATTTTATGTTTTGAAGAGACGACACATTCATTGTGGTAGACACCTAGATGTAAGGAAAAGTATACAGTGAAAAGTCTCTTCTGTTTTTGTCCCCATTTGCCTAGTTCCCCAGTAAATACCATAAATATATTTCCCTACTTAGGTTTCAGAGTTGTTTTTGTAGATTAGAAGTGTAGATATGTAGATTTTTATTTTGTCTCATTTGATGTAACAAGTTGCTTTTTTCACCTGTAAGTCATACTCTGTTAAGAACTGTATGTGGAGAGACATTGGAGCTCTTAAGTAGTACGGACGTATTTCTTAATCAGTAGTTAGGGTTCCCTCTCTGCCTCTTCTTCCACTGGAACTTTCTCACGTGTGCCAAGTTCTGTGAAAGGCAGTTTTCCTTGCAGTTCTTTGGCGCTGGGGTTGGAGAGTTTAATTTTGATTTGCTGTTACTTTGAGTTCCCCAGGCATTGACATCAGAGCTCAGATTTACCAGGCACAGCAGGCCTGTGGTGCAGAAGCAACCTGCAGTACTTGGGCTTGTAGTTATCTTATTTTTTGTGTTCTTGCAGATCTCTGATGGATTTTAAAGATGTTAGCATAAAACTAGCTGCCTTAATTAGAAGAGTGGCCAGGTGCCTAGCCTGCCATTTTATCAGGTATGAGAGTGTAGTCTGATTCTTTTTTTTTCTCCCCCCTTTTTCTTTTTACTCTTCCCTCTACTCCCAGTTTAATAGATGTGTGCTTGGCATACAATAAACTGCACAAATTTAGTGATTATAGTTTTTAAGCTTTGACCTCTGTGCACACCTCTGAAACAATCACCAAATCAAAATAGTGAATATATCTATCACCTTTTAATGCTTCCTGAGCACCCTTTGTTATTTCTCCCTTATGTCTCCTCCCTGTTTCCATGCAACCACTAATTTGCTTTCTGTCATGTAGACTAGTTTGCATTTTTTAGAATTTGACATGAATGAAATCATATAGAATCATAGTCCTATTTGTTTTTAACATTAGATCTAGGGAATCATTTTCCTTGATTCTTACTTAACTGAATGTAAGTTGGGCTACTTTAATAAAGGAGTGATTCTACAGGTATGGCATTTGACCCCATCTTATCACAGCAAGCCAGAAAAGGAAGTTATGTCCCTAGATCCACAAAAATCACCAACTTTCCATGAGATGAAGGCTTTTGTGGAATTGTCACTGAGTATTTGTAAAATCTTAAAATCTCAGGTCAGTGTTGACCGAGGGAGAGTGACATGAAGTGATAGGGTACAGAGACCCACACCTGTCCTATTGGCTCTCTGATGACACCCCAAGGGTACAATGTTGTTGACCTTGAGGACAGAGTGGAATTCTGCAGAGGATGTTATGAGGCAATATATTTATAGTTCATGTATTCTTTCGTTTGTCAAGGATACCTCCCACCTTGAATCAAGGTTCTTATTTTGTCTTATTTTGTCATTTTTTGCCCAGCCCATAACCCTCTCTCACCTGAGAGTAGTAAGAACTCCCAGATAGTCTCCTTGCTTTATTCTTATGTCCATTTAGGTCTGTTTTTCAGACATCAGCCAGAGTGATCTTGTTACAAACCATGCGAAAGACTGCAGTGTCCCTCCTCGGAGCCCTCTGGTCCTCTTTCCTTGAGTGCTATCGCAGCCATGTGCTCTGTGGGTGCTTGTGGGCTGCCTCCCCAGGATCTGTGTGACCTCAGCCCTCACTACTGTCCTACTGTCTCTCCTTTCAGCACCCTGAGCTCCGCACAGCTGCAGAACCACCACGCCACACTCCTGCCTCAACACCTGTGCACTTGCCATTCCTTCTCCTGGCGGTGTTGTCTTCCTAGATGTTTGCATGTTCTCTCTGCTCAAATGGACCCCTTCAGAGAGCCTTTTCCTGGCTTTGAGCAATATGAGATGGAGCCACCCAGTCTACAGTTTTCCTCAAATCCCTAACCCTGCCTTGTTTTCCTCTATAGAATTCATCACTTTCTTGACTTGTTTTATTTCTTTGTAATCTCTGTCCCCTTGAAGAACTATTAAAGCAGAAAACTTACCTGTCTTGTATAGCTGTGTGAGCATTGTTTAGAAGAGTTCCTGTCACACAGGAAGTGCCGTTCTTCATGCATGAACTGCATCAAGGCCAGTGGGACAAGAGGGAAGTGAGCCCAGAAGCGAGGCTGAAGTATCTGGCAGGGACATGGTCAGGAAGGGCTCCTTGGCCAAGCCGGATGTCTCCATCTTGATCCTGTGAACTAGGGGAAGTCATGAAGGCTTTTAAAGAAGGGTGTTGATGTCATCTGATATAAACCCTCAAAATATTACTCTGGGTTAAATGTGGGAAATAGATTGGAGAATTGTAAGAGACCATTCTGAGAATTTAAATAAGAGTAAATGAAATAGGAACAAAATTAGAAAGGAAAGGGTTGGGGAAGGGGAAGCGGAGTCCAGTGACCTCAAAGAAAGGTTGTGGTTGTGAAAATTTGTGCATAAGAGAGCTGGAAGGGAAGGAAAGTTGTGTTTGGGAGCTAAATTGGGTGCTGAGTTGGTGATTTTTGAGCTGCAGCAGCTCAGGATGTTAATGTCTAGAATATGACCACATGTGAAATTCTGTGATTAGGGTACCATTTTATGGGTCACAATTCTCATCATGGGTATAAAACACATTTGAATCAGTAAAGTACTATTATAACATTAGGACAATCTCAAATATTTTCTCTAAACAGAACTAATTTCTTATGCTTTAAAGAGATTAATTTTTTCACCTTTCTCTGTGCCTCTCAATTCTGTTGTTTTTGTTTGAAACATTGGAGGAGTGTTCTTTTGATTATTACCCTAATTTAGTTCTTCTGTGAGAGAATTATTGCTGATGTCATTCAAATCAGTGTATCCACTGATCACATTTGTTTATTTTTATTTGGCACATTGCCTTATTAGGTAACATACTGCGTTTTGCTTCTGCTTATGGATTATCTGGAGGTAGTACTCAGAGCTGGGCACTCTGTGCTCTTAAGTCATTCCAGACAATGTAATACCTTTTAGGTAGGGTTATCTGTATTTTCATGTAGTTATTAATAGAATGGTTTCTCTATCAGCCAGATCACTGTCACTTCTTGGTGACATCTCGCTTCTGATGAGGGGATCTTAACATCATATCTAATACAATGAGAAATAGAAGAAATACCTTGTATGTACAATGCAGGGAAAGACCCCATATCAGGTCAGAATTATCAGGTAGTAAGTAGTACTTTAAACAGATTATTAAGATAGTTTCAGATAGTTTGTGTGTTTGAAATTGCATTTTTCTTGAATGGGTTAACATCTTTTGTGCTGATAGCTTCACTGCCTTTCCTTCCATTTCATTTTAGGAAGAAGCAAAAAGGACCCCTGGAGAATGCGGTGCTGTTCCCTTGGCTGTGTACAGAGTGCTAATAAGGTGCCTTCGGGAAAGGGTAAGGCTCCTTTGTTGTCGTCTGTAGACACCTGCAGTGGTAATAACCCTTCCGGCACTGTGTGAGGATTGTAGCCTAAAGCAGTGCAGGAGCTTGTCAACCAATCCCCACAAGCTACCATGAGCAAGTGACTTACAGTGGAGCAACTGTAAAAATGAACTAGCTTTCTCAATCAATTTTTAAATGTCTTGCTTTTAAAAAGATGATGGTAATGTAAATAACACAAGCACCTTTTATAACATTCATAATCTCCCCCCACTCTATTAAAGCTATTGATATACCAGTTCAGTAAGCTAGGTATATGCAGAGAATTTCCTGTGAACCTCTAAAGCCCCATGATTATCTTGTCAGCTTGCTGCTCTGTGGTTCAGGAACAAGGAAGCTTCCACTAGGAACCATTCATTTTAATATTAAGTAGTGTTAGGTGATGTGATTTTTTTCAGTTCATTCACATCCATGCCTATGCTACTGTTAATGGCTGAGTATCAGCCAACTGGCCAGCCAGCCGTCTCTTGTGTCTGTAGCTCCTATGTGTAGAGAATTTAGTAAAGGACCTAAAAGGTTGGCATTTTCCGTTTGCTTTAAACAATTTGACATTATTTCACCCAAGGCAAAGCCATAGGCTAAAAACATTCCTTAAGGAATGAAAAAAATATGTCAAAATAAACATCTTCCTTTGAGTTCATTACTATGTGCATTGTATGGTAGTAAAAAAGTGATCCAAGTATGAAACGCCTGGCAGGGTTTTACCCTGGTGATCGAGAAATGGAAGTTTGAACAATTCCTAGCCTGTAGGTGTAACTACATAGTCACTTGTTTTGGGATATGAATGAAGTCAGTAAATTTTACTTTATCAATAATATGAGAATTAAGTCATGTTTATAGTCAAAAGATGTGTTTGAGTTTTTCACTCAAGGCCTCAAGTTAGGCACACTTGGGAGCCCATAGGTAAAGGAGGTGAAATTTAAATTTCCACTCACATATGTATCCCACCTACTGAAGGAGATAAGGTAAAAATATAAAGTAGGAATGTCAAGTACATAAATGCAAAAGAACAAATTATAGGAACTCAAAGCAGAAAGGAGTCTTCTGAAAATTCTTCTAACAGTGTAAAAGACATTTTAGTAACTTTTTATTTTTAATTCTTAGATTAATGTCTAATAGAAGGTTACTCAAGTCAGTGAGGTTGTATCTCTTATTATATATCTTCTCCCCACCCTCTTCTGTGTTTTTCAATTGTATACATGATATGAAGAATAATATCTGATATCCACATGTATTGTTATTAAATATTTACTTTCAATAATTGTAAAATAATGATTGTATTTTAGTAACATACTTGCCATCTTTTGTCTTATTATGAATGGCAAGTCTTACGTTTCTTAAAAAAGGAGGAAAGTCTAGAACTCTATGGAAATTTTATGTCATGTATTTGAAAAGCAGTTAAGTATGTGCTTTGGCAGCATATACAGGTGTCCCTCCCTTTGTGAAAGTTTGTGTTATGCCACTTTGCCTTTTTTTAAATAATTGAAGTATAGTTGAAAACAATCTTATATTGATTTCAAGTATACAACACAGTGGTTCAACAGTTGCACACATTATTAAGTCCTCACCCCATAGTAACTACTAGTCACTTCTTGGTGTCTGTGAGCCTACTGCTGTTTTTTTGTTCCTTCTGTTTTGTTTTTAGGTTCCACAGATCAGTGAGACTGTATGGTGCTTGTCTTTCTCTATCTGGGCTTTTTTAACTGAGCATAATACCTTCTAGGTCTGTCCATGTCACAAATGGCTGGAATGCTTTCTTCTTTATGGCTGAATAATATTCCACTGTGTATATATACCACATCTTTTTTATCCATGCATCTATCATGGGACACTTTGTTTGCTTCCTGTCATGGCTGTTATATGTAATATGGCAATAAACCTAGGGGTGCATATATCTTTTCTAATCAGGGATTTTGCTTTCTTCACATAAATTTGTAGAAGTGGAATTACTGGGTTGTACTGCATTTCTATTTCCATGTTTTTTGAAGAAACTGCATACTGTTTTCCACAGCAGCTACACCAATTGACATTCCCACCAACAGTTTAGGAGGCTTCCCTTTCCTCCACATCCTCACCAACACTTGTTATTTCTTGTGTTTTGTATAGTGCCCGTTCTAACTAGTGTGAAGTGATATCTTATTGTGTTTTGATTTTCATTTCCCCAATGATTAGTGATGTGGAGCATCTTTTTCATAAGCCTGTTGGCTGTCTGTATTTCTTCTCTGGAGAAATGTCTGAATGTCTGTTCAGGTCCTCCACCCATATTTTAATCAGGTTATTTGTTTTTTTTTTGGTGTTGAGGGAAATGAGTTCTTTATGTATTTTGGATGTTAACCCCTTATCAGATAAATCATTTATGAATATATTCTTCTATACTGTAGGTTACCTTTTGGTTCTGCTGATGGTGTCCTTTGCTGCACAGAAGCTTTTTAGTTTGATGTAGTCCCATTTGTTCATTTTTGCTTTTGTTTCCCTTACCAGAAAGATGTGTCCAGAAAAAATTGCCCATGCTTATGTTCAAGAGATTTTTGCCTATTTTCTTATAAGAGCTATATGTGTTCATGTCTTACATTTAGATTCCTTGATCTATTTAGATTTTACTTTTGTGTATGGAAGTAGACAGTAATCCACTTTCCTTCTCTTGCATGTAGCTGTCCAGTTTTCTCAACACCAGTTATTGAATAGGCAGTCTTTTGCCCATTGTACATTCATGGCTCCTTTATTGTATATTAATTGACCATATGGTTGGGTGTATATTTGGGCTCTCTATTCTGTTCCATTGGTCTATGGGTCTGTTCTTGTGCTGGTACCATACTGTTTTGATTACTGTGACTTTGTAGTAGAGCTGGAAGTCAGGGAGCATAATCCCTTCAGCTTTGTTCTTCTTTCTCAGGATTGCTTTGGTTTGTTTGTGATCTTTTGTGGTTCCATATGAATTTTAGGATTATTTGCTCTAGTTCACTGAAAAATGCTGTTGGTACTTTGATATGGATTGAATTGAATTTATTAATTGCTTTGGATAGGATGGCCATTTTGAAAGTATTAAGTATTAATTCTTCTCTCCATGAGCATGGGATGGATTTCCATATATTTGTGTCTTTAATTTCTCTCATGAGTGTCTTACAATTTTCAGAGTATAGGTCTTTCACCTCCTCAGTTAGGTTTACTCCTAGGTATTTTATTCTTTTTGATGCAATTGTAAATGGAATTGTTTTCCTGATTTCTCTGTCTGCTAGCTCATTGTTAGTATATAGTAATGGAACAGATTTCTGTGCATTAATTTTGCATCCTGCAACTTTGCTGAATCCAGTTATTCTAGTAATTTATTTTTTATTTGAGTCCAGCCAATAATGGATACCATTGGTTATGAGCTAACAGTGCATCAGTAAATACTGTTCTAAGTGCATTATAAACACTTTCTTATTTAATCCTCCCAGTAGCCCCTGAGCTACTACTCTTATCAACATTATTATTTTTTTTTTATTAAGGTATCATTGATATACACCCTTATGAAGGATTCACAAGAAAAACAATGTGGTTATTACATTCACCCTTGCCATTGAGTCCCCTCTGTACCCCATTGCAGTCCCTGTACATCAGTATAGTAAGATACCACAGAGTCCCTGTTTGTCTTCTTTGAGCTACTAGTTCTAGTAATTTTTTGGTGGAGTACTTAGGGTTTTCTGTATGTCATCTGCAAATAGTGACCATTTAACTTCTTCCCTACCAATTTGGATGCCTTTGATTTCTTTTTCTTTTCTGATTATCACGGCCAGAACTTCCAGAACTATGTTGAATAAAAGTGATGAGAGTGGACATCCTTGTCTTGATCCTGATTTTAGAGGAAGAACATTTATCTTTTCTCTATTGAGTATGAAGTTAGCTGTGGGTTGTCATATATGGCATTTACTATGTTGAGCTACATTCCCTCTGCCCATTTTCTTGAGAGTTTTTAGTATGAATGGATGTTGAATTTCATCAAATGCTTTTTCAGTGTGGCTCTGGGAGGAAGGAGCTTCTCTGCATGGAGCAAGTTCCTTATGAATCCAGTGACATTGAAGGAAGACAAGAGAAAGGGAAAGTTGGGGGAAAAGGTTTTATTGTTCTTGGCTCAGTCTGTTGCTCGGCTCTTTCTGCTCCCTTCTGTGTAGCTCCACTATCCAGCCTGCTGCATCCATCCCTCCTGAGGGAGTACATGCTTGCTTTCCCTGCCTGCCTCTTCTGGGAGGAACTCCAGTCCCTGGTGACTGATGGGCACCAGATCAGTTATGTACCAGGAATAGATGGGAGGAGAGAATGGCTGTTTTCTCTCCACCCCTCACCCTGGCTTGGCTCTGCTGTGTCCCACTGATATGCACATAGGCTCTCATCTGCCAGGTGGGAAATCTGGATGAAAACTTCATTCACCACACAACCCACCCCTCCAGAATTCTTGCCTCACAACCTATGCACCCCCAGTCTTCCACAGTGGCCCCTGTGCAAGAAAGCTAATGTGTTGTAACCAGAGTAACAACATACAATAATAAGAACAATTATGAAAGAGATAGCAATAAAATTATGACAGCCCTCAAGCCTGAGGATCCAGGTGGGTCCAAAGTTCCACTCATATTAAGTCTGTAGCTCCCACATTCCATGGGAGGCCATCTGCTGAATAGCTAGGGAGTTCCAGACATACTCAGCAAGCAGCAGCTGTGCTAGAGGGCATGCCCAATCCACAGACTGTAGAAGACAATAACCTTAAGGGTGATCAGACACATGTTCAATGACACCAGCATAGCTAAGTGCTGTCCATTAGGTAGGATACGTTCAAGAGAGTGATCCTTTCATAGGAATGTGGCAGGAAGGGGTCCCATCCAGGTCTAGTATACCATACTTTTATCCCCCTCCCTGTGGGAGTTATGGATGGGTCAATATGTAGAGCTGTGGGAGGGGCATACACTGGCCATAATGACAGA